AGTACATCTCGTGGAATGTTTCCATAGGGATTTTGTTCTTTCCATGGTATTTTGCCCGATCCTCCTCACTGTGGAATTCGAGGTAGTGTTCGATAGGACGACCCGGGTATGCGGCCTTTTCATTTATGCGAGGAGAGATCGAAGAGGCAACGGACCAGAAGAGCATGAGGATGGGAATGCTGGTGAAGGCAGCCACGAAGAGGGTGGTGTAGAGCCCGCCATGCAACAGGCGAGCAAGGTACCATGGCACGGCAATCAGCAGGCCAATGAGCAGTATGTTGTTGAACGAGTCACTTCCCGCAGCGTCGGCAGGAAGAGGGGCATTCTTGATTGCAGGGTACTAAGGGAGACACAGATAAGCCAGCAGAACATTTTGGAGCTTCCATTGAGCTGCACAACATACAGAAGTCAAGCGGACACCGCAGTTCGAAGGGGTTTGCTCTGGAGCTGCAGGAGGAGTCTCAATGAACTCAATGTCCTCTTGGGACACAGAGGATTTGCTGGTCATAGCGGCTGCTGTTGGGATGAAATATGTGTGAAAGAAGGGAAGAGGTGGGAGGTCAATGCGGTGAACATTTGGCATTTGGGGGGAGCATGTGCGGGTCGCGGGTTCGGTGTACCTGCATATTCAAAAGTGGAGATGGCGGTGGCAGCGCCAATCTTTTGTTATCACCAACTATGAGGCACTCAGTACTGGTACAGTCAGGCATCATTGCGATGCAACAATCTATCCACGACATCGCCCGGTCAATCTTCGTCGAGCTTCGCAGCGAAATCTCCAAGCAGCACGTCGTCCGTCGCAGGGCCCCGGTTGTTCCTTACCCACTCCGTCTCAACCCTGAAAAAGATCCATATCCATCTCCTCAATACTTCCAACAACTCCATGAGGAATATCCCACCCTCCAGGTCATTAAAATGATCCAAGTGTGGCGAAAGCTTGAAACTCCAGGTACATCGCAGGAGGAAATCTATAACAATGGCACTATAATACACCTCTTTTGCATGGAAGTAGCGGTAACGTCGCAAACCCCAGGGATATTCTGGGTTGTTTCTCTCGCGGCTCGAGGAGAAAAGAGAAAGGTCCCAATCCTTGGCCACATCCCAGTAGAAAGAATAGAAAGAGTTGACAAAAACGAAAAACATCCTGCAAAACGTTAGAGAGATGTCACACGTAAGTCTTTGGTGGTGCTCACCATAGTCTGAACAGCCCAGCCTCGCTCAGATGGGATTTGGTAGGGTCATAACCTCGTTGCAAAGCACTCAAGATGATCACTGGAAATGCGCTGAAGTATTTCAAGGCATTGGCCAAGTGTTGGCCACCCCAGCCCGAGGAGGTTGACTGATTCCTCCGGACCCGATAATACTCAATCAGACACTGCCGCAGTCGAATCATGCTCGGGATGCTGATGATCAAGGGCACAAGATATGCGCCTCCACAGCCGCGATTGGGCTTCGCCGTACTGCTTGTCTTCGTATCGAGGAGCATGCACGTAGCAACGAACAAATCTCCCAAGACTTTTGCATAACTCGTAAGAACATCAGCCAGTAGAATATCCCCGAACTTTCCATCCTGGACCTCCGCCAGACCTCCCAAGCTGATTCTCTTTAAGGATCTTAGAAAATGGAGTCGACCAGACCGTGACATGCGTTTGAGTGGAAGGAGAAAGCACAAGACAAGAAGTAAAAGGTAGGACTGCGGAAGGATCTGCCATCGCAGAACTGCCTGCCGGTCACCCCGGGTGACGGCCCAGAACAGAAGGAGGGACGCAATCAATGGCACGGAGAGAAAGGAGGCCAAGCGGTACGTCGAGTGGTGGTGGTGCTCTGCTTGTCGAGGAGGATACCGGATGAGTGCTGGCACATCCTACACTTGTTAGCTGGAGCCCGCCAGACATATTCTGGACAGTGGACTTACAATCTTGATGAGATGCAAATAGTGCAGATTGAGACCCCATGCCCAAATACCTAGTGCGGAGTCAGATAATGTACAAGAGACGCCCGTCAAATCACCATACCGAGAACAATTATGATTGCGACTCTATAAGGGAGCGGCAGAACGAGACTAAACGAGTCGACCTCAGGCTCCACGGCGGCGTCTCCGTCCATATTGAATAGATAATATCATGCTTCGGACAATTGTGAAGAGCCGAAGGGGTTAAGAAGGAAGGGAAAGATAACAACACCATCAACACACGAGAGAAATGGTCCCGGCGCACGCATCCAGATCGCAGAAGTTGGCGCTCGGGGGGTTTGCGAAATGATATTTACCTGGCCTTGTTGGGAACTTGGCCGCAACCTATTACGGCAATGTGCTGCCGCCGCTTTACTATTGCCTGCGTAACTGAGCAATGTAGGAACCTGTTCTGATCTCTTGCTCTACTTTGTACACCTTTATTCTATTCTTCGCTTCAATAATTTCGTTGACATTGCTGTATTTGGTACTAGTGGTTCTCAATAGCCCAAATCAAAGTCACCAGGAGCGACTGTCCACTCTGCCGCAGGTTTCCATTCAGACAATCCTCAAGATGTCTTCGTATAATCGGGTTTGAAAGCCGTCGTTTTCACCTCCGCAATCAAACTTTCGCCAAAGTCTCCCTCATATCCGTGAGCTGCAAGATATTCTCTGAACTTGGCGTCCTCGCTCTCAAGCTCTCGATCTCGATCAGGGATGAATATCCATGAGATGATGCCACCCGCGGCGGCAAAGCCGGCTCCAATCAGGAAGACTGCTTGAGTACCCTTTTGCGTGTCGCCAAAGGAGTCCTGGATAGGCGTGAAAACTTGAGTCCCGATCGCAGCACCAGCCTTGCCGACCGCAGCAGCGAACCCCATGAAGTGTCCGCGCAAAGGAGTGGGAAAGCTTTCTGCGGCTGTTAAAAAAGTGCAAACTCCAGGTCCCATCTCCCCAAGACTATTGAAAACCCCATAGAGGACGACAAACAAGGGAAAAACAGATTGGATAGGGTTCAACGCTCCACCCAGGATAAATCCTAAGACTGACCAGCAGCCAAAACCGAGAGTCATGGTTTGTTTGCGACCGATTCTATCCATAAGGACTCCGCCCACAAGACAGCCAGGAAGATAGAAGCAGTTTACGACCGTACCGTATCCGATGTTCTGGATTAGGGTGTTGTTAGGGTTGAGTTGACCGATGATGGTGGAGCTGAAGATTCCAAAGGGGTAGGTGACACTACCGAAGCGTTAACAAGAACCGGAGACGGAAGACTGGCATCCAACCTACAAGTCATACATGAACCATGCAAGAGAAGTCCCAACCATGGGCTTCCAATATCGCTTGATGATCAACCAATACGGTATGTTTTGCTTGATAGCATGTTTACGATATTGACTGGACTCGACCATGCGAATTCGAAAGAAGAATAGCGTCACGGGGAGGACAAAGCCCAACCCGAAGCAGATGCGCCAGATTCCACTGGAGATCTTCTCGTTGTAGCATTCGATGACAACCAACGCCACGACCCCGGCTACCACGAATCCGAAGTCAATGGCGAAGTCCGTGGCCACGGCGACCAGGAAACCTCGTCTGCGGCGGACATATTCACTTTCATCTGAGGCTTCGGCACTGCCAGTTCCGCAGGTTGGGTACTCGCCTGAATCCACTTGTCAGCACGTCATTTAGCATCTAGTCTTTTGAGTTGTCCCTCACCTCCAGCACCGAAGCCGGCGACACCGCGAGCAATGATCATCATCCAGAACATGCCGAGCTCAGTGGTGCCGTGAGCAGCTGTAGCCAAGACGATACCCAGGATGAGGAAGAAAGTTGCAAAGACGATGCCGGTACGACGGCCTATCCTGTCAATAAGAAAGCCAAAGAAGAGCATGCCAAAGATCTTCCCAATGAGGTATGCATTGGACAATCGGGTCTTGATGATGCTAGACATGCCGTCCTTGTATAGGTCTGTGAACAAGGGCTCCATGTATCTGCAAGATAAGTGTGTCAGTATTTTTCCCAATTTAGCAACGACATGGCACGTACCCGATGATTTGTGCATTGTATCCATCAGAGAACAAGGCAAGTCCCGCAACTAGAACGGTGATAACAGACGAGACCCTGGTGATCCTGGCGACATCGACATGACTGAGTCTTCTATCTCCGACTTCGACGTCATGCGCATGGGGTTGGGTTCCATTTGACTTATCACCTGTGATTTCGTACGACGAAGCCTGATACCTTTCAGTCGCCATTGTCGCGAAGTGGAAAGTGTATGGAGGCCGAAGGCGAAGTGCTTAGACATTCGGCGAAGCAGATGATATGGCGTCCACATATACATTTTCAAACAGGTCGCGAGGACATCCTATTTCCCCCTTCATACTTCTCCCCTTGATTCATCAACCCTATCGACCTCGACCGCCGCCTCGCCGTGACTCCGTTGCCTCTGGCCTGATGCATGATGCGAGAAAGAAAAAAAAGGGTATTGAGAACCTCTGCATACGAATTGCCTGCCAGTTGTGTGGGAACGTGGCATATCCTTGTCCGCCAGATTCTGCTAAAGGCAGGCGATGAGGGGCTTTCAGCCTCCTCCTCGAACAGTTGCTCTTCAAATGAAGCTTACCTGAGCTTAACCCACGTGCCAAGGTCAAACAAGATGATTCGGATCTACAGGACCGGGAGGATGGCGATCCCTACGCGAGAGAACGCCGTTGGGAGGTGCGTCAAGGTCGCATATTCTGCAGCCATTCGGTTCGAAGTGCGATGTTGCAGCGTCTGACAGCAAGATACCCATATAGGGAATACTGTATGGTGTCCGTCTGACAAGTAGAGTGAAGATCACACTGTCACATGCGTGTTACGATCGCAACGAAAGAATTTCAATGGCAGACATCTCAATTGGCCACGGAGTGAGAAACTGCAAGGCAAGGATATAACTGGTCAATTCAGCCTCTGTGCCAACATGTTCGAGATAGAGAGAGGCAGTTTTGGACATTGACCCAAATCCCTCTCGACATCGCAAATTTGTTCGGCGAGAGGATCAGGCAAAATGTTGTTGTCTGAAGAGCAGGTCCGGTCCTTTCGCAGGAATGGCTACCTGGTTCTTGGTAATGTCCTTTCTGAGGTAGAGACCGAGGAACTCCAGCGATGGGCGCAGGAAGTCCATGACTGGACCACAGATGCGAACAGTCCATGGATGCCGTACGAGGTACATGCTTCATTGAGGACCAAGCGCCGAAAGACTGAGGCTCTGACAGGAAATCAACGCTCGAGGGGAAAGGGTGCTATGCCGGACTGAAAATTATGCAGATTCCCATGCGGGCTTGAACAGTCTCCTTCGTGGACAGAAGTTGTTGGATCTGCTCAAACAACTGTCGGGTGAGGAGATGTTGCTGTTCAAGGAAAAGATCAACTATAAGCTCGCAGGCAGCGGTATGGACCTTTTCACACCAAGTTGATGGTGACCTACTTACCGCAGTACAGGTGGATTTGCACCCCATATCGATGCCACGGCATATACCCACATCAAAGACATCAAACACCTTGCCATCCTTCTGGCGGTTGACCCATCGAATATTTCCAATGGTGGCCTGGAGGTCGTTGAAGGGAGTCATGAAATGAACGTACCTATCGGGCCAGACTCAGTATCTGCTGGCATTGGGGTTTCCAGCCAAGGTGGCTGAGCTCGTCGAGGCTCATGTCCCGGCAAAGCGCTACCTCTGTGCCACAGAAGATGAATACTATAACACACTCAGCGATGCGAGCAAGGAGAGTCTGCGATTCCAAGGAGGTCCGATGAGCCAAGACGAAGTGCAACAATGGAGACAAGGGGATTGGGCTGTCGAAAAAGCAAACCTGAGGAGGTGGGACGATGGAGCCAAGGTGGTTGGCTTGAAAGTACCAGGGTTAGAGACATATCGACCGCTGTTGGAGCAAGTCTTGAGTTCTTGACATGTGGAGGGTCGGATAGGCTAGTTTGAGATGGCGAGAATTACAGCCATGTTGAATTTGTAATGTAACTCTCGATGGTAGAGACGGTGTGTTTGAGAGAAGAGAATCATTGAACAGCATCGTGGGACGTCGACTGAGTCGTGGATGAGATACTCTGAATTTGGTAGGTTTGCCGGGTTACATAATGCAGTCTTCCCAATAGATGCCAAACTATCGCATTTCGTTTCGACGCTTCCCCAATGTGAAATCCAGACAATTAACCTTCTCTACACAAGATCTGGCGAGCAGGATGAAGTGGTATGGAGTTGTATCCATATTGCCATCTCTGTTCTGGCCGGCTTGTGCCATATTTGCCGACGATGCCTTCCACATAGACTTCCACCATGCCCTGATCGGAAGCCCGCAGCCTCATACTACCTTCTTCCACAAACCCCATTCGAATACCAATGCCTCTCTTCTCTATACCCTCTCCGACAAAGCTGTTCTCGGCGCTGTTAACCCAAAGGACGGGTCAGCGCTGTGGCGCCAGCCCCTCGCAGGACAACCTATTGATAATGCGTCGAGCTTGTATCTGATCGCGGGGGAAAGAGATGGCCAGCTGATCAGCGGATACGATAGGACTGTGGCATGTTGGGATGCTCTTGACGGGAGACTCGTGTGGGACCATACACTGCCGCCGGGGACTGTAATAGGTGGACTACAAGCCATCCCCCTCCAGGGCTCTGTCGCGGACGGAGTTCCACAAGACTTTGTGGTCCTCGCTGTCTCGACAGACTCTCAAACGCATACTTCCATCAGTCGAATCGCTGGCGACGGCGGCGGACAACGATGGCAACATGTAGATTCAAGCACCGCACATGGCTCCTCCGCGTCAATCACAACCTCCGCTCAGCACGTCTACTATATAACAACGTCTCACGGTTTGTTGACGAGCAGCAAGGCAAAGGTTATCACCCTGGACAGCGCGACAGGGCATGAAGTCAGCCAAACAGGGGTTGCCGTCGACACAGAACCCCTGGCACCCGGTGGTCAATATGTGGCGGACGCTTGCTCCGGGTCCCCCTTCCTGATTTCCGCTGAGAAGCCGTTCAAGACGGTGAAGTTCAGTCTGCTCAGCCATCCGAAAGGTTCATCTCTCACGTTGGATGACAAAGGAGAAGAAATTGAGGACGTTACAATTCACGCTGCTTGTCACCAATCAACAGCAACTCATTTTCTCCTACATATCAAAGGGAAGACACGACAATGGGCCGAAGTCTTTCATGTGAACCCGAAATCGGGGGACGTTACAAAGGTCTATTCATTACCTGCTACCGAAGAACAGAGCGTGTTCTCTGCGAGCAGCTACGAGGGATCTGCCTTTTTCATTCGCTCCACGGAGTCTGAAGTCCTTCTGTACTCTTCAGAGTCTCACGGACAACTAGGGAGGTGGAGAAAGACGAACTTCAAGACATCCCCTGGAAGCTTCCATTCACACGCAACCGCCGAGGTTGTCAGCAGAGGGAAAGCCAACTATGCGGTTCGAGTGGCTGAATTCTCTAACAGTGGAGATTGGTCTCTGATCCGCAATGGAGAATTGCAATGGAGTAGGCCCGAGATGCTCGCCTATGCGAACATTGCTGCATGGGACGAAAATGGTGCTCTAGATGCTCTGGCGGAGGAGCTTGATCTTGAGTCTTCAGTTAACCCCTGGACAGCCTACCTCCATCGTCTCAAACGCCATATCCATGATCTCGCATCCCTCCCGGAGTATCTGCGCAACCTTCCAGACACCATTCTGAAATCTACTCCCGATGCTGATGTGATCACACGCCAAAACCTGGTTGGAACAAAAGTCGTCATTGTTGCCACTACCCGAAAAGAGGTGATCGCGCTGGATGCTACCACTCCAGGCGTTCTCAGGTGGCAATCAGACCTTTCCAGCTACATCCCTGAAGGTACCGAGATCAAATCTATTACGGTGAGCGGCGGAAGAGTTTCAGTCTATCTTTCCAAAGGATCACTGCTCGTTTTGAACGCCAACAACGGAAGCCTCATCGAAAATAAACCCGGCACCATTGCCATATCGCATCTAATTCAAATTCCCGGCAGTCCTGCGCCAGCTGTCATCAAAGTCGGATACGATGGTGTACCTCGCCTTGCTGAAGATGTCGTTCCTGGAACCGTCTCGGAAGGCAATTCTGTGGTAACAATAAGTCCAGACGGAAAAGCCATAGGATGGACCGTTGGCCGGAATGTCGAGAAGACATGGACATTGAATCCACAAGATGGGATGAAGATTGTGCGTGCCGTGGCTCGGGCAGAGCATGATCCAGTTGCCTCGATCGGCCGTGTGCTCGGGAACAGATCTGTTCTGTACAAGTATCTTTCGCCAAACGTTGCACTTCTGCTGGCAACCTCGCAGTCCGGAGCATTGACGGTCTACTTGATCGACGCTGTGACGGGGGCAATTCTCCATACCGCAACCCACCGTGGCGTCCTCTATTCAGACATACCCGCTGTGATATCTGAGAATTGGTACGCCTACACGTTCACGGTTCGTGATCCATTGACATCTGGCCTCTCCAACCAACTCGTCATCTCTGAACTGTACGAATCCTCGGCTCCGAACGACAGGGGCCTGCTGGCAGCGCGAACGAATTATTCCGTCTTCTCAGTTGACGGTGCCGCGGCCAAACCCTACGTGATATCTCAGTCATACACAGTGGGAGAGCCGATATCACATCTGACAGTCTCGCAAACCGCGCAGGGAATAACCTCGCGCCAACTACTGGCGACCTTACCCAACAGCAACGCAATAGTCGGTATCCCCCGCGAAATCCTCGATCCCCGCCGCCCTGTCGAGCGGGATCCCAATGCTACGGAGCGAGAGGAAGGGCTCAGCCGCTACATGCCTATCCTAGAGTTTGACCCTAAATACTACTTGACGCACTCTCGCGAAGTATTGGGCATTAAAGAAGTTCTCTCGTCGCCAACTCTCCTGGAATCCACTTCCAGAGTCTTTGCTTTCGGGCACGACATTTTTGGCACCACGATCACGCCGAGTCTGGCCTTTGACGTGCTTGGAAAGGGTTTCAACAGGGTCCAATTGGTCCTCACGGTTGTGGCGTTATTTGCAGGTGTCGGCGCGCTGAGACCGTTGGTGAGAAAGAAGACGGTCGACGGCCGGTGGAGGTAGTATTCCAACGCGTTGAGCGGACACTTGAACCTGTGTACGATGGAAAGTTATTAGAGAGATCTGGTCAAACAGACTAATTATCTGGTCGCTATGACACGGACTGCCTAAGGGAGCGCGAAAAAGGGCTTGTTGGCATTTGCGGTATGTGATAGAATATTCCTCGGAGTGTAAAGACAAGAAAAACTCGAGATCTTTGGCGATAAGATTGAAGATTCGAATCTTCTGTGCTTGCTGTGCTTGCTGTGCTTTCTCATGCATGTGCTGGTTTGTACCTCGTATGCAAAGAATACCTACCCATCTATCTACCTATGTATGTCGATATGTATACTCTGACGCTCTCTTTCAGCCTGCTTTGCTGCACTTTTTTTGCATGAAATCTTTTCCAATCTTGGAATTGGCTCCTCTGTCATTCTCTCTTCTCGGTGTACCGACCAACCGACCTGCCGAGCTATTAATCATCGAGGCGAGTGAGGCATGTACGAGGTACCGAGTACACCGCCACGGTTCAAGGTTCAAGGTTCAAGGCTCAAGCCATGTATCCATCAGTACGTCCGTCGCCAGGGGGGAGGGGTGGCCGTTGCGAGATCCCTGTTGTCCTCTTTGTTTCTTTTCCCAAACTCAACTCCCTTAGTAATAGGACCCGATCTCTCCCTGGCCGTCAGCTCCGAAAACGAATCGATTACCTATATACTCCCAAGAAACTCTGCCTGCGCTGCGCTTGATCTTCCTTCCTGGAGGATCGCGTCTGCGTGCTTGGAGTCAGGCCTAGCGGAGACTAGCGGGCCGCAAAAGGACGCTCGTCCTGATCGGGAAATGGGTAGTTCTCTCGCTGGACATAATATAACCCACTCTCAAAGGACTTGGGTGTTTCCTGTTTTGTCAGGGTGGTGGTGGCGCCTTTTGCGGCCAGGGGGGAACAGATAGAGAGTTATTTCGGATCAGGTCCATCTCCATCGGAGCCCATGTCGAACACATACTTGTGTCTTTGTGATCATCTTCCGGTTCATGGGAACCTAGTTTGCCATTGCTCCCTGTGCGACGAGTTTCTCGGAATGAGAACTCTCGACGCCGGACAATGGCCGGTCAACCATCCGAGGGACTTTGAGCCAAATACCCGATGAAGCTGAGGCGCCAATTGTTGATGTATTTTGTACCAGGAATTCCACAGCTTGGCTGCCACCTCAGGCTACCGTGCATCGCGAAAATCGCCAGTGCTCGGGCTTCAGAATTCGACCAGTTTCCTCAGACTGTCGTCTTGGAGCCGTGGAAAATAAAGGTAATTCTCTCTCAGCAATTTCGTGACGTCTTCAAAGCTGTTGAATTCCAGGTTTGCAGCGACCAGATAACTAAACCGGGTGCTGAAAAATCGTCTCTGGGGCGGCACTGGATCTTCCTTTCTCTCCAACTCGGGCCGCATGAATACGTCCTCCACGTATGCGCCAACCGAATAGATCCATAGCAGGTCGCGTGTGTGCTGACCCGGGACAAGGGAGAAATCCTCGGCCGCAGGCCGCAGGGCTTCGATGACCGTGGTCATTTCCGTGTGGTAACGTTTGCTCTCACGAAAGACGCCACCAGGTTGGTAATGCTCCTCGAAGATGCACCGATCAAAACAGCGTACAGCAAGGCATAATGCAACATCAAAAGTCAATGCGACCGGGGATGGGAGGCCGCCAGGCCCAACGACTGTGGCTACAGGCTTACCATCCTTCTTGGCTGCTTCAATCAAGTCGCACCAGTAGTGGAGAGAACGAGCTCGAACTGCGGTCTTGCGAGCAAAAGACCAACGGAACATCTCCGTTACGTCCGACGCTTTCGAGGT